TCGAGGTATGGTGTCTGCCTCGAGTGCTAGTGGTTCCGGGTTCAATCCCCGGTAAGGGCTGGGATTTTTTTACAATTTTTTTTTACATTTTTTGACAATATTCTAGTAATTCCACCTAGTCTCTGGGTAAAGTAAAAGAAAAAGTAAAGTTCCCTTTTCACGCCTTTCGGCGCATCGGGCATTTGGGCAGAGTGTCCCATATTTTTACAGACCATCAGCACTCTGTGGGTAATGTGGTCAGCATTACGCCGGCTGTCTTTACTTTCCCCAGGACAGCCCATCCTGGTACCCATTTTAGGCTGGGTCGACCTGCGACGTCCCATACCACGATAAAAATCCACGCAGCCCACGCAGGTTTCGATCGCGGTATGCTGGCTTACGAGTCGGACTCGCAACGCCTTAGCCACGGACGCCGCTATCTAGTCTCTGGGTAGTGTGATCAAACGCCCGTGTGCATTGTTGCTCACGTATATAAAAAAAAAAAATCTGCTGCTCTTGAAGATGCTGACGCTTTTGCGTTGTCAGTTCATTAGCCAAGTGGGATCGTGTTCAGTTTCCAAGGCTGTGTTCGAGTTTCAAAACAAAATTTCCTTGAAAATGTCGTTCGAATTTCAAGTTATTCGAGTTTTGAGGTGTTCGAATTCCGAGACCTTTGTGGCTCTGACAATATTGACATATAGTTAGGCAAGTGTCCTTCACAGAACGATGCAGAACGAACCCTTTCATTTGTTTATACTTTCCTGGACCGCAGGTGCTTGAACAAAAAAAGTTGGAAAATGAGGTAAATCTCATACTTTCCTAGATCGCAGGTGTTGAAAATGAGGTAAATATCGTACTTTCCTGGATCGCTAAGGTTAAAAATGTTTGAAAATAAGATAAATCTCGTACTTTCCTGGATCGCGGGTGTCAAAAATGTTTGAAAATAAGATAAATCTCGTACTTTCCTGGATCGCGGGTGTTAAAAATGTTTTAAAATAAGATAAATCTCATACTTTTCTGGATCGTGCGTGTTAAAAATGTTTGAAAATAAGATAAATCTCATACTTTCCTGGATCGCGGGTGCCTAAAAAAAAGTTGGAGAATGAGGTAAATCTCATAGTTTCCCCGGCCGCTTGTGTTAAAAAAATGTTGAAAAATGAGGTAAATCTCGTACTTTACTGGTGTTAGAAAAATTTTGAAAAATGAGGTAAATCTCGTACTTTACGGTGTTAGAAAAATGTGGAAAATGCGGCTATAAACTTTATGAGCTGCATATTGTTTACAATTTTGCAAACCGATTTCGCCTAACTTTTTGTTTTCTATTGCATGACTTGTTACAATTTTTTTACCATTTTACATTCAATAGTTTGCCATGAATCATATCCTGATTTACAAAACTGAATCATGGACAGTGGGTTGATTAGTTGGAAAAATTACAACTGAAAACATTTTTATCTCGATTTCCTAAAACTCAGAATCATTGATTGTTTCATTTAAAAGATATGTTGCGTAAAAATTTTTTTTAGAGGCCACTGAAGATTGAGAGGACCTAAGTTGTAGCTTATTTAGCTTATCTTTAAATCCAGACCTGCTTCTACAGCTTTCGCATGGGCAGCAGAACCAGCACCCTCACACGCGGTGACCGGATCAGACTTCACAAACATGCTTCAGAAAATCGCAGCAGGCAGCCTGAGCTCTGAATGGGTGTACAGCATTCAGAAGTTGCACCTAACCTCCATCACCTGGATCTACACGCTTGGTCATGTCTAAGTTAAATGCAACGAAGGAGGGGACCATTTGATAGGTTTGGCTCAACTGTATCCAAGAAGATGCATGGTCAGAGCAGATATCATTAACTATATGCGGACTAGACTAGAAGACAGTTATAAATGATGTTTGTATGAACTCAGAGTGAATCCTGATGAAGTATATGGGTGCCGCTTTGAGGCCAAGACAGAAGACATTATAACCCGCTTCTCATAGGAATAGTCATAGATATATCTTGAGGTGCCTGCTGCTTCGGACGACTGAGCACGATTGAGAATGCCTAATGCGTAGTAATGTCGACTACAATAACATACCAGATAGAATTTAGAAATTATTTCAAACAATTAAAAAAATTTCATAAAATATCTCCACAGACTTACAGTTCCAGCTCGCGGATTGATTATTATGTGCTTTCTACGCCTGCTTGCAATCACCTTCCTTTTGCTTGAAAGTAAGTTCTGTTTTGTTAGTGAGGCAGTAACTGGTTCATTATAGAGTAATCAATAAATCTAAATAAATCGGTACAAGTAACGTTTTCGTCCGCAAACAACGACTTCAGTCGCTGCGCGAGACTTCTTGATCTTCCATTAATGGACCGTGACCTTTCCCACGGGCTGTACTTTCTTCTAGGGGTGTCACGATGTGTTATTTTCAACGATCTAAGCGTTCTGTATTTAAAGTTGTGAGCGGTTTTAACGACTCCAATACATCTAGAATTGGCCCTAACCTCCTACCCCATAGCCTCAGTCTGCTCATACCAGAGAGTGCGATCTACGTCCCACTAGAGAGTGCAGTCTACGTCCCACCAGAGAGTGCAATCTGCGTCCCACCAGAGAGTGCAGTCTACGTCCCACCAAAGAGTGCAGTCTACGTCCCACCAGAGAGTGCAGTCTACGTCCCACCAGAGAGTGCAGTCTACGTCCCACTAGAGAGTGCAGTCTACGTCCCACCAGAGAGTGCAGTCTACGTCCCACCAGAGAGTGCAGTCTACGTCCCACCAAAGAGTGCAGTCTACGTCCCACCAGAGAGTGCAGTCTACGTCCCACCAGAGAGTGCAGTCTACGTCCCACCAGAGAGTGCAGTCTACGTCCCACCAGAGAGTGCAGTCTACGTCCCACCAGAGAGTGCAGTCTACGTCCCACCAGAGAGTGCAGTCTACGTCCCACCAGAGAGTGCAGTCTACGTCGCAAGACTACATGCAGCCTAGGTCTCAATAGTGTATGCCGCCTAGGTTCCACTATTGTTTTCAGCCTAGGTCCTACGAGTGTGTGCAGCCTAGTTGCTACTAATGTATGCGCGACGCATGCGGAGAGAAACAAGAGCCAGAATGGGACGCATAGACGTCAACTGGAGTCCTGGGGTGCAGAGACGGCGACACGGGAACGAACGCATATGGTAAAGCCATTACAAGATAGTCAAACGCATGGGAAAGATTACGAAATATGAATGAAAGGCCAACAATTCTCTCGCGATGCTGTTAAATTTTTGTTTGCGGACAAAAACATTACTTGAACCAATAAATCATATTCTTCTGGTACTGATTCTATGACAGTCATAGAAGTGGATTCAGTTTGTAAAGGACCCTTTAGTTGGAGTGCTTTTGCCTGAGAGGCAAGGAACCAATATTCTGCACAAAAATAAGCCAGATCTGTGAAACTCAAATTCCGGAGCGAGACCAAAGTCCAGTAGTGAGCGAACAACCAGAACTTTCCATGGGAGTTTACAGCCAGCAAACGCTGAGAAAAAAAAACCCTCCCTTTCTGACGGCATAGGCACATTGGGCATGTAGTGCTACATAATTATTTGTTGGGGAAGAACCGCAGTGATGTACTGGCTAGACGTTCGCAAATCAAAATGGAAAACGTGAATGATGCCTTTGACAACACACGCATTGGCTCCCCGGTAAACGACTTCGTCGCCGGCCAGGACAGTATTTAGGTCGCCTGCTGTGATTGTATCAACACTGGAGGAGTCCTTTTCAGGGCTCTGGTGGCGTACAATGCTAAGCCATTTTATATGGCACACATAACCTGGTCACAATTATAACCTACATATTTATTTTACATGATATCCCCTTTAGGGTGACCATTCGTCCCGTTATTTTTAAGCACCGAAATTTATCAATGAGAATGATCTTTTAAAAAAAAAAAATTTTCATTGCAGTTTTAAGAGCATATTGTTTTGTTTATTTCTTAGCAAAAATGGTTCTGGCTTAAATTTCATTGCGAGTAATTAACCCTCCCACCCCAGTGACCTATAGCAAAAGGAAAGAAAAACAAAACATTAGTGTGATGTCCCGTTGTAAGCTTACATTTTAGTGGGATGTCCCGTTTTAAGCTAACATTTTACTGGGATGTCCCGTTTTTAGCTCAAAATATTACGGTCACCTGACATCTCTTATTACCCATTTTAAGCTAGATCGACATGAGACCGCCTTGGAACGGTTGGCAACTTAAGGGTTTCAGGCTGGCAATCGAGCGAATAGCCACTGTGTTACATCGGTCAATGGAAACCCCTTATAAATGGTGTCTTGATGTTTTTATTCTTCCCTTTTTTTTTCGTTCGCTTGAAAAAAGATGATCTATATCTGCTGTGTTGTCTCTAGTAAGAAATTCGCTGTCATTTGTAATTCACTCTGCAACTCGTAAAGTTTGACTTGCACTGATGTTTTTCTTGGACAGAAGTTTTGTCTTTATATTTTGTTTTTAGGACGGTCTTGGAGGACGTGATCTGTTGTCTCAGGTGCCAATCCTTTACTACCCGGATCTTTCATCCAACTTTGAATTGTTGGCAGAATTATTACATAGTTTTTTAAACGGCACTCTAGGTGACTACTCTCCGTCACCATGTGGGACGAATTTTTCGTTATCTTGTTGTTGCAGGGGCCCTAGTATAATATATCAAGAAAAGATATAAAACCGAACGAAATGTATATTAGCAAGCTTCACAATATCACAAATACAAACAAAACGTGAACGTTGCGGCTTTAGAGCCTTCATCAGCACATACAAATCAAACAAAAATAATGTGTTGAACGGGGTTTCTGGGACCTTTCCACTTGTGATCCTCATATGAATGGTGGCACTTTGTGTCACAGATTGTTTAGTGCTCAGTGTAATGTCCAAGTGGGGTACAAAGTCAGTCAGTCAGTAGTCACTCTGGGTTTAAAATGTACCCTAATAGGCTGTCGGTTCATTTCGAATTACGTTCAACCTGTTTTGACATTTACCGATGTTTTCTTTTTGCTGTTGCAGTGTTGCTATCTGTATTTGTTGTCTGTTTGACTCCTGAAAATATCGAAGAACTTCTTAGTCTTCACAATCGTTACAGAAAAGCCATCTCCTCTGAACAACAGGCATATAATGTATCAAATATGAACAGCCTGGTAAGTTGCTGTACCAAACAGGTCTGTTTAAAGTTTATGCATTATATTAGATATGAACAGCCTGGTAAGTTGCTGTACTAAACAGGTCTGTTTATAGTTCATGCATTATATCAGATATGAACAGCCTGGTAAGTTGCTGTACTAAACAGGTCTGTTTATAGTTCATGCATTATATTAGATATGAACAGCCTGGTAAGTTGCTGTACCAAACAGATCTGTTTATAGTTCATGCATTATATCAGATATAAACAGCCTGGTAAGTTGCTGTACCAAACAGGTCTGTTTAAAGTTTATGCATTATATTAGATATGAACAGCCTGGTAAGTTGCTGTACTAAACAGGTCTGTTTATAGTTCATGCATTATATCAGATATGAACAGCCTGGTAAGTTGCTGTACTAAACAGGTCTGTTTATAGTTCATGCATTATATTAGATATGAACAGCCTGGTAAGTTGCTGTACCAAACAGATCTGTTTATAGTTCATGCATTATATCAGATATAAACAGCCTGGTAAGTTGCTGTACCAAACAGATCTGTTTATAGTTCATGCATTATATCAGATATAAACAGCCTGGTAAGTTGCTGTACCAAACAGATCTGTTTATAGTTCATGCATTATATCATATATGAACAGCCTGGTAAGTTGCTGTACCAAACAGGTCTGTTTATAGTTCATGCATTATATCAGATATGAACAGCCTGGTAAGTTGCTGTACCAAACAGGTATGTTAATAGTTCATGCATTATATCAGATATAAACAGCCTGGTAAGTTGCTGTACCAAACAGGTCTGTTTAAAGTTTATGCATTATATTAGATATGAACAGCCTGGTAAGTTGCTGTACCAAACAGATCTGTTTATAGTTCATGCATTATATCAGATATAAACAGCCTGGTAAGTTGCTGTACCAAACAGGTCTGTTTATAGTTCATGCATTATATCAGATATGAACAGCCTGGTAAGTTGCTGTACTAAACAGGTCTGTTTATAGTTCATGCATTATATCAGATATGAACAGCCTGATAAGTTGCTGTACTAAACAGGTCTGTTTATAGTTCATGCATTATATCAGATATGAACAGCCTGGTAAGTTGCTGTACCAAACAGATCTGTTTATAGTTCATGCATTATATCAGATATGAACAGCCTGGTAAGTTGCTGTACCAAACAGATCTGTTTATAGTTTAGGCATTATATCAGATATGAACATACTGAAAAGTTATTTTCGTTTATACACAGTGTATTTGAAAAAAAAAAAAAAAAATTCATCAACAGATTCGTAAGGTATCCTCTATTTAAAAAAAAAAAAGTATTGAAACCCCTTCTAAGCCGTCAGACGTATAGGGGGCGACTAACTGGGCTGCGAATGAGGCTAGACTTCTATTTGATAGACCAATCGGCACTTGGTGGCTAGTGTGGACAGCATCACCCGAATGCCATAGTCGGTATTTGGTACACAAAGAATGTCTGTGATGTGTGGTGGGTCGGCTTTTGTGGCCTAGGCGTTACGAAGGCGATTTGAAATGCCGGGGTGCGGGGTTCGATCCCAGCTGCGCCTTGCGTTGGTTTCGACAGTGGTATCGAAAAGCCGACCGTCCAGTAGGCAGTGGCAAACTAATGGAAGTAAAATTGCCTAGAAAAACCACAACAGCCCCCCCCCCCCCCCCCCCCCCCCCCCAAAAAAAAGTGCTGGGGTATATTCTGCAACGTCCTGTAAAGGATACGCAACAAACTAGATACGTGTGGGGTAGATACTGAGTATTTATAAAATTCCACCATCTCCGGTATTTGTTGGCTTTTTTGTTATCAGACTTACCCTGCGTGCCTATCCAGGAGTAGAGAAAAGAAAGAATAAGATTAAATGTATTCACTATCCAGCACATTATTATTATCAATACGCTCCTAAACTAGACCTCTTGAGGTCATCCTCCCTTTTTGCCTTCAATAGGTTTAGGTTTATACAACGGATCAACGTCATGGAACAAATTTTGCAGCCCATTAGTGCTTCTTTTTGCCTGAAAAATATATATGGCGATGTTTTCTCTGTGCCAGCAGGTGTACTGGCATTTCCCTTTTAATTACCTTAGTGGTTACACTTCACTCGCGAAATTGTCATTAGGTGATTAGACTTCATGTATAGAGGGGGTTGCGTGGTCGCGGGGCAGGTGTCCGCCTCGAGTGCTAGTGGTTCCGGGTTCAATCCCCGGTAAGGGCTGAGATTTTCTCACGTGGACTTGGACTTCTAGTAATTCTCCCTGATCTTTAGCAAGATCGGACGCCCGTGTGCATTGTTGCTCACGTAAAAAAATCCCTTGGCAGTTGGAAATCAAAAAGAGTTGCCTAACGTAACGTCTCGTGGCAGAGTGTCCGCCTCGAGGCAGGGTGTCCGCCTCGAGTGCTAGTGGTTCCGGGTTCAATCCCCGGTAAGGGCCGGAATTTTTTCACATGGACTTAGACTTCTAGTAATTCCCCCTGATCTTTAGCAAGATCGGACGCCCGTGTGCATTGTTGCGCGCGTAAAAAATACCTTGGCAGTTGGAACTCAAAAAGAGTAGCCTAACGTAACGTCTCGTGATAGTGTGTCCGCCTCGAGTGCTAATGGTTCCGGGTTCAATCCCCGGTAAGGGTTAGGATTTTTTCACATGAACACTTGGACTTCTATTAATTCCCCCTGATCTTTAGCGAGATCGGACGCCCGTGTGCATTGTTGCGCACGTAAAAAATCCCTTGGCAGTGGGAAATCAAAAAGAGTAGCCTAACGGCGCTGTCCGGGTAAAAATTTGGAGCCTGTGCACTGTGCTGGGCGTCTTCAGGCACACTTGAGTTAGAAAGAAGGGAGCTTTTATGGGTTACTACCCGTGTGCCATGATGTTGATCCGTTGTTCAAACTTTGAACTCCATGCGAGGGTCCAGTGGTCCCATTGTGGAGGGAAAGAAGAATAGAACCACAGGGTCCCAACAAATGTGTCGTAAAAGTCGACTAATTGGTGGTGTTTTCTTCGCAGTCGTAGTGCGTATGCCTGAGAAGCGAAGAACCTACAGTCTGTATTTAAATAAGCCAGATCTGTAAAACGGATATGCATACAAAACTCAAGTTCTGTAACAATACTACAGTTTACAAGTGGACGAACAACTAGAATTTTCAGTTTCCAGCCGGTAACCAATAAGAAAGAGAGACTATACAAGTTAATGGGACCAGAATTCGTCCTTGATGTCAAATTTCACGTTCAAAATAGAAAGTATTTGAAACTTTTCAAATTAAAACCATTACATTTTGGTGTCAACGTAGACTGTAATTATCTCTCAAGTCTTTCACTGGACAAATCACGTGGTTTACTTGACCAATGCTATTCGTCTTTGACAGAGCCTAAAAAAGGAAACCTACTACGAGGACCAAAATTAGCAACACTGTTAATTGCTTACTGTTCTTGAAAAAAAAAATTATTCATTGGCTGTTATTGTGGTTTCATAAGACAGTGTATCAGACAGCGGCGGCACTATCTGGAGGTTCAGTAGCTTGATTCCCCCCTTCCTCAACCAAATAATTTGCAAGGAGCCTCCGCCCCACCTCCTCACCGAAAATTTGCAAGAGGTTTACTTTCAAGAAGCAGGTATTTTTGGAATCCAGAGGCACTGTAAATATAAAAGACGCTGCATGGAAAGTGTTTTCCCAAAGAATTTGAAAGACAGAAAGCACAGTGGTTTTCGTTAATCATTTGCATTTAGTCTGGAAGTAATATCGTTGACTATGTATACAGCCCAGAAGTTATCTTATTTATATATGTTTTCATCTTCTTCTTAGAGTCCATGCCGTGTGACGCTGGTAGTTATGTCTGTCCACAATTTTCTGTCTTGTGTACTTTCAGTCAACTCTGACACAGACGATTTTCCATGCCATGGTGTCAAACTGTCCAACATCTGTTCTCTTAGTCTCCCTCTGCCTCTCCTCTCCTCCAGCTTTCCTACCTTTACGTTGTACTCCAGTTTTCTCCTTCTCATCCAAACTTAGGAAAAATAAACCTATTCAGACCAATCGGAACTTGATGGGTGATGCGATTAACATTCCACCTCCGCCTTTACTTCCCAGGACTTTACTTGATACCCATTTAAGGCTGGGTCGACCGGGAGCCAATGTCCTTTCTCTTTTTTTAAAAAAAGTCCTGCCAAGTCAGTGCCTGAACCCATGACCTTTTGATCGCTGACGACGGTTTTTTGGCCAGTACACCCTGACGGCTCCCCATGGACCAAGAAAAAGAACAAACTGATATCTTAAAATATCTTAATATCCTGGAAGACTTGCTCGCTAAAATTATTCTTTCTCGAAAATTGAAATAGTGTGTTCATATCAAGCACCACGCCTTCTCCTTTTCCTCTTCTCCTTTTTTTCTTCTTTCTTCTTCTTCTTCTTTTCTTCTTCTTCTTCTTTCTTCGTCTTCTTCTTCTGTCTTCTTCTTCTTCTTCTTCTCTTCTTTCTTCTTCTTCTTCTTCTTCTTTTCTTCCTTCTTTCTTCTTTTCTTTTCTTCTTTTCTTCTTCTTCTTCTTATCTTCCTTCTTCTTCTTCTTCTTCTTCGTCTCTTCTTCTTCCTTCTTCTTTCTTCTTCTTCTGCTTCTTCTTCTTCTTCTCGTTCTTCTTCTTCTTCTTCTTTTCTTCTTCTTCTTCTTCTTCTTCTTCTTCTTCTTCTTCTTTCTTCTGCGTCTTCTTCTTCTTCTTCTTCTTCTTCCCTTTCTTCTTCTTCTTCTTCTTCTTCTTCTTCTCTTCTTTCTTCTTCTTCTTCTTGCTTCTTCTTCTTCGTTTTCTTCTTCTTCTTCGTCTTCTTGCTTCTTCTTCTTTCTTCTTCTTCTTCTTCTTCTTCTTCTTCTTCTTCTTCTTCTTGCTTCCTTCTTCTTCTTCTTCTTTCCTTCTTCTTCTTCTTCTTCTTCTTCTTCTTCTTCTTCTTAATCCTTCTTCTTATTCTTCTTCGTCTTCTTCTTCTTCGTTCTTCTTCTTCTTCTTCTTCTTCTTCTTCTTGCTTCTTTCTTCTTTCTTCTTCTTCTTCTCTCTTCCTCTTCTTCTTCTTCGTTCTTCGCTTCTTCTTCTTCTTCTTCTTTCTTCTTCTTCTTCTTCTTCTTCTTCTTCTTCTTCTTCTTCTTTCTTCTTCTTCTTTTCTTCTTCTTCTGTCTTCTTCTTCTTCTTCTTCTTTCTTCTTCTTCTCTTTCTCTTCTCTCTTCTTCGTCTTCTTCTTCTTCGTCTTCCCTTCTTCTCTTCTCTCCTTCTTCTTCGTCTCTCTTCTTCTTACGGTGCTTCTCTTCTTCTCTTCTTCTTTCTTCTTCTTCATCTTCTTCTTCTTACGTCGTCTTCTTCTTCTTCTTCTTCTTCTGCTTCTTCTTTCTTCTTCTTCTTCTTCGTCTTCTTCTTCTTCTTCTTCTGTCTTCTTCCTTCATTCTATCTTCTTCTCTGCGTCTTCTTCTTCTTCTTCTTCGTCGCTTCTTTCTTCTTCTGTTCTCTTCTTCTTCGTCTTCTTTCTCTTCTTCTTCTTCTTCTCTTCTTCGGCCTTCTTCTTCTTCTTTTCTTCTTCTTCTTCTTCTTTTCTTCTTCTCTTCTTCTTGCGCTTCGGTCTTCTTCGTCTTCGTCTTCTTCTTCTTCTTCTTTCTTCTTCTTCGTCTTCTTCGTCGTGCCTTCTTCTTCTTCGTCTTCTTCTGTCTTCTCTTCTCTTCTTCTTCTTGCTTCTTATTCTTCTTTTCTCTTCTTCTTCTTCTTCTTTCTTCTTCTTCTTCCTTCTTCTTCCTTCTTCGTCGGTACGTCTTCTTCTTCTTTCTTCTCTCCTTCTTCTTCTTCTTCTTCTTCTTCTTCTTCCCTTCTTCTTCTTCTCTTCTTCTTCTTCAAATGTTCTTCTTCTTCTTCTTCTTCTTCTTCCCCCTTCTCTCTTCTTCTGTCTTCTTCTTTCTTCTTCTATCTTCCCCTCCTTCGTATTCGTGCTTCTTCTTTTCTTCTTCGGTTCTTCTTCTTTCTTCTTCTTCTTTCTTTCTTCTTCTTCTTCTTCTTCTTCTTCTCTTCGTCTTCTTCGTCTTCGTCTTCTTCTTCTTCTTTTCGTCCTTGTTCTTCTTCTTCGGCTTCTTCTTCTTTCTTCTTCTTCTTCTGCTTCTTCTTCTTTCTTCTTCTTCTTCTTCTTTCTTCTTTCTTCTTCTTCTTCTTCTTCTTCTTCTTCGTCTTCTTCTTCTTCTTCTTCTTCTTCTTCTTCTTCTTCTTCTTCTTCGTCTTCTTCTTCTTTCTTCTTCTTCTTTCTCTTCTTCTTCGTCTTCTTCTTCTTCTTCTTCTTCTTCCTTCTTCTTCATCTTCTTCTTCTTCTTCTTCTTTCTTCTTCCTTCTTCTTCTTCTTTTCTTCGATCGCTGAGCTTCGGTCTTCTTCCTCTTCTTCTTCTATCTTCTTCTTTCTTCTTCTGCTTCTTCTTCGTCTTCTTCTTCTTCTTCCTTTCTTCTTCTTTCTTCTTCTTCTTCTTCTTCTTCGGCGTCTTCGGCTTCCCTTCTTCTTCTTCTTCTTCTCTTCTTCTATCTTTTCTTCCCTTCTTTGCTTCTATCTTCTTTCTTCGTTCTTCTTCTTTTTCTTCTTCTTCTTCTTCTTCCTGCGGCTTCAATTAATTCTTCTTCTTCTTCTTCGTTCTTCCCTTTCTTCTTCTTCTTCTTCTGTTCTTCTCTCTTCTTCTTCTTCTTCTTCTTCTTCTTGAGTCTTCTTCTTCTTTCTTCTTCTTCTTCTTCTTCTTCTTCTTCTGCTTCTTCTTCTTTCTTCTTTCTTCTTCGTCTTCTTGCTTCTTCTTCTTCTTCCTTCTTTTCTTCTTCTTCTTCTTCTTCTTCCTTCTTCGTTCTTCTTCTTCTTCTATCTTTTCTTCTTCTTCTTAGTAGTTCTCTTCTTCTTCTTCTTCTTCTTCTTCTCTTCTTCGTCTTCTTCTTCTTCTTCTTCTCTTCTTTCTCTTCTTCTTCGTCTTCTTCTTCTTCGTCTCTTACGCTTCTGCGTTTCTTCGGTCTTCTCTTCTTCTTCTTCTTTTTCTTCTTCCGGAGGAGGCTTCTTCTTCTTCTTCTTCTTCTTTCTTCTTCGTTCTTCTTCTTTTCTTCTTCTTCTTCTTTCTTCGAGACGTCTTCTTCTTCTTCTTCTTCTTCTTCTTCCTTTTCTTCCTTCTTCTTCTTCTTCTTCTTCTTCTCCTTCTTCTTCTTCTTCTTCTTCTTCTTCTTCTTTCTTCTTCTTCTTTCTTCTTCTTCTTCTTCTTCTTCTTCTTCTTCTTCTTCTTCTCTTCAGGAGGAGTCTTCTTCTTCATTCTTTCTTCTGAAGGTTCTTCTTCTTCTTTCTTCTTCTTCGGAGGAAGTCTCTTCTTCTTCGTCTTCTTCTTCTTCTTCTCTTCTCTTCTTCTTCTTCGGAGGATAGGACTTCTTCTTCTTCCTTCTTCGATCTTCTGCAGTTCTTCTTCTTCTTCTTCTTCTTCTTCGTCTTCTTTCTTCTTTCTTCTTCTTCTTCTTCTTCGTCTTCTTTCTTCTTCTTCTTCTTCTTCTTCTTCTTCTTCTTCTTCTTCTTCTGAGATGCATTGTTCTTCTTCTTCTTCTTCTTTTCTTCTTCTTCTGCTCTTCGTCTTCGTCTTCTTCTTCTTCCTTCGGCTTCTAGTCTTCTTCTTTCTTCTTCTTCTTCTTCTTCTTGATGACTTCTTCTTCTTCTTCTTCTTCTTCTTCTTCTTCTTCTTCTTCTTGAGAAGGAGGAGGGACGTGGACTTTCTGAGTCTCTTCTTCTTCTTCTTCTTCTTCTTCTTCTTCCTTCTTCTTCTTCTTCTTCTTCTTCTTCATTCTTCTTCTTCTTCTCTTCTTCTTGATGTAGGAATTCTTCTTTCTTGAGTCTTCTTCGCTTCTATTCGACTCTCTTCTTCTTCTTCTTCTTCTTCTTCATTCTCTTCTCTTCTTCTCTTTGTTCTTCTTTTCTTCTTCATTCTTGTTCTTCTTCTTCTTCTTCTTCTTCTTCGTCTTCTTCTTCTTCTTCTCTCTCTTCTTCTTCTTCTCTTCTTCTTCTTATCTTCTTCTTCTTCTTCTCTTATTCTTGTCTTATTCTGTCTTATATCCTTCTTCGGTCTTTAAGCCCCTTACTGTGCAAATTCTGATATAGGTGCTCATCCTAACCATAATGCCAAACCGTCCAGCATCTTTTGTCTTTATCTTCACCTCTTTCTCCTCAATCTTTCCTACTGCAGCAGCAATTTGCCGTGGATTATGAAAAAAAATTACGTTTCTATTTAATAATATCATTTTCAGGAATGGAGTGATAGATTATCAGTGCAAGCAGCAGAAACCGCCACTTGCCGGTCTGCCCGCCCTAGACAACTTGAGCTTGTAAGGAACACTTTCGGCCATGTCAATGTCGGCAGACGTCGCCATGGAAACGGTAACCTTTCCCAGATCGTTGACATGTGGTTCGCTGAAAGGTCAAGGTATTTGCCCGAGGAAGGTGAATGTTTTCCTTGGGATGGCTGCACCAGTTATAAAAATGTAAGTATCTATATTTTTAATCAATCAATTATTCAATCAAATGATCAAATAATCAATTAAAGAGCATGTCCTGTACAGAATTTCACTCTCTTCACGGCACGCCTGAAATTGTTCCCCTTCTCCAATCAGTTCTCCAGCCCTGGGTTCTTTCATATCCAACGCATCTTCAGTGTCCTGTATTCACTTTCGCGGACGTCTTCGTCTGCCGCATTTTCCAGAATTTTTTTATTTTCCAGAATTTGTCATTTTCCAGAATTTGTCATTTTTCAAAATTTGTCATTTTCCAGAATTTGTCATTTTCCAGAATTTGTCATTTTCCAGAAACTTCACCCTCTATCAGTATTCTCTCCAGACCGCTTGACAGGTTCAGAATACCTCAGCTTTCGGGAGAGGATGCTGTTTACGAGCCAGTTCTTCTTGATGTTCGGATCATCCAGTTCCCTCGAAGTCGGAGTACATCTGCCGGAGAGGCGGGGAACGAGAACTGCATACAAATAAGCCAGTAAAACGGATGTACACGCAAAACTCAGGTCAAGGTAAAAGCTAAAAGTCCATTTGGACGAACAACAGCGACTTACCGCCGGAATTCACAGCCGGTGAACAAGAAGAAGAAGAAGAAGAAGAAAGGATCATCCAGGATGTCGAGGGTTTTTTTCCTCCTCCCGGTCTTCAATCTGGTCACAAGAGAGTAAAAGAACTTGATATTCAAGCAAAGGATATCCAAAGCATCATTCTCTGATATACTCTTTCCAGTAATTAACCGCATAATGCTGCTAAAGTATGAAAAATGGAGGAGAAAGAGAAGGTGAAGATAAAGAAAAAAGATGCTGGGTGGTTTGTTATTATGGTTAAAATGAGCACCTATTCCAGTAAGACTGCCAGCTCCACTTTTTAATAAAATAAATATCTGATTTGGTTGTAAAAATGGTAAATGATATCAAAGATGGAGCTCTTAACAGTTGCCTGTTTAAACAGCTGTGTAAACACATGAATGCTGATCATGAGGTTTTTATTTTTTTTTTAAATGCTAGAATACGATGATTATCAAAAGAAACGAAATGTCTTCGTGTGTGGGTTCCGGGTACTTGACTGTGGGGAAAACATAAACAGACGCACTGATTACACAACAAGCGTACCGTAAGAGTCGACTGATTAGGGACTTCCTTTTAAGTCGGAGTGCATCTGCCTGAGAGACACGAAACCAAGAGTCTGCATACAAATAAGCTAGATATGTAAAACGGATGTACAGGCAAGACTTAGGTTCTGTCCAGAGATGGACAAATAACCAGAACTTTCTGCTAGAGTTTACAATCGGTAACGTGAAGAAGAAGCAGCAGAAAAGAAATTGTAGTCAATCGTTCTTTGTCGAGTTGAAGGAAAAATCAAGTTAGCTAACCTGAAACTCCAAAGAAAGGAAATAAATACTTCTCATTTTAACAAATTTCAAAATAATCCAAACCCTCACCTGTGGATCGGAGGGTAGTGAGTTCGGGTCCTGACGGAGTCGATTTCTTTGGGGGTCAAAATGACCTTGGCTCTCACGTCGACCTAGTCTTGAATGCCTACTGGGAAGTAAAGGCGGTCAGTGTAATGTTGACGGCATCACCAACAGAGTGCCGATTGGTCTATGTAAGTCTAGTTGTAAACGCCAACACGCTTGAAGGCGTGGAAAACGGCCTTGTAGTTTATCACTTCCACTGTAATCGTTACCCGTCCACAGGCAGGGCTGTTTAACTAAGTTTACTAATGGGCCACCTTGTGACACCATACCATACAAAGCATACATGGAAAGAGAAGAAGGACGTAGAGCACGGAGTAGACCAAGAACAAGATGGAAGGATAACATCAGAGAAACTCTACAACAGCACGATGTGCCTATGGTCGAGGCAGCCAGAAGAGCTAGAAACAGAACCCTATATCTCCCTCGACACCCACAGCGGTAAAAGAGGAAGTGAAGAAGAAGAAAAAGAAGAAGAAGACTAATGGGCCATAGTTGTGACAATGGACATCGTTATGGGCCAGAAGCATGAGTAATAGTATAGAAATTTTAATACAATGCAACTGGTAATGATCAGCGTGACTTTTGCTAGGCCTTCCACGGGCCAGATCGCCTCACCCCTCAATGCTACCATCGTTTTCATTATTTATAATACACAAACAGATATATGCTGATCGGCGATCGCAGAAAGGAGTAGAAAGATAGAAGAATACTCTAGAAAATATACATATCGAAAGCTGTAGTTTACCCAGCCATGAATCAAACCGGTTACCCCTCATATACGTCAGCGCCCCGCTGCAGAAACAAGTGTACTACGACGCATGACCGACTAGGCTCACCACCCCCCCCCCCCGTCCTCCCACTGCCCCCCCCCCTTTTTAAAGTGTCTTTATCAGCAGTGTATCGTACAGCTTGAATCTATAATTATGGAATATAAACAGAATATGTCTTAAACCACTGAAAGTTAACCACAGGGTTATATACATTTTTATTGACCAAGTATGTGCCGAAAAACACAGACACAAAAACTACACACACATTTGCCCGTAATGCTTTGTCTTGAATTCAATAAACATTAAGAAAAGTAGAGATTTTATTGGGTTATAACGAATACATTATAGTCAACCTCCGCTGAGAAGACACCCAAAGGTACCCACATTGGACTGCATGTTACATGGTAACCAATTTATTGTGCAGCTGTACAATTATGCCATGTAGGTAGGTACGTAGTTGTACCCCACCAGGACATCAAACAAGCGATAAACACCTGGTGACGCAAAGTGCCACTATATGGATGAGGATCACCCGTGGAGAGGTCCCAGAAATCTTTTTCAGCCGTTAAGGCATATCTACAACTAGGCCATATTAATGCCCCAGCTATATTCAGGACCCCCGGCAGAAGCTTGGGCTGAGCTTCAAATAACAGAAAATTGCATCCCACATGAGCGACGTGTACAAATTATGCCATGTATCAAAACAGTTAAATGGGATTTATTGGGTTTGCATTGCAAATCTGGAAGTGTTTAAAAAAAAAGTTTTGGAAGACACAACATTTGTTTTTCTGACCTACTAATCTGACCTAGCCATATCACTTCAAAAGTGGCACATTTTGTGTCTTACAATTTTGTTAATTGTATTTCATTTATTGTCTCAGCTATTTCCGTTGACGTGGTCGTGAAGATGTGCATTCTATTCTTCACTAATTGGCGACGGTTGATAGATAATCTTGTCAGATGCGTTACGATAAATATTTTGTCACTGCATTAGTTTCATTATGAGAAGACTAAACATCGTACGGCGAGATTACTACAATCATCCATTGCATCTAACTTGAAGAATGAAACTAGACGTAGACAAATGACATAGACACCTTGCATTAATGTATCAATCTGTTACACACACACACACACACACACACACACACACACACACACACACACACACACACAATGATTTGTATATAGATAAGGATTTGTGAAATCGTAAGTTTTTTATTGAAATTATAGTTCTGATGTTGCTATCCGGTTATCTTTCGAACATAACGTGTGGTCGTTATGGTGAAATATTTCAGCTTTATGTCAAAAAAGAAGTTTATAACTTTAACAATACAGATGTTAAAAGCATGAAGAACTTATGACACGGTACCTGCAAGCAAGTTAAAGTACACATTTTGAGATTTTGCATCTTCTCTATGGCAGCTTATGAATGTGAGTCATGGATCAGTCTGAGGAGAAATAAATGTTGAGCCTTTAAACTGATATGCTCTTAGTTTTCCGTGGATCAAAAATAGAAACATTCCGCAGTGCTGCAGGATTTGGACATCGAGGCGAATTGGCTCATAAGCAGCATCGTGTTACACAAGCTGGGATATTCTGGTTATGTCAATCATCATGCTCGAGTGGATAGAACCGTGACGGCGGTTGGAGTTTTCATCTCGAGTGAAAAGAACCGTGACGGAGGTTGGAGTTTCCATCTCGAGTGAATAGAACCGTGACGGAGGTTGGAGTTTCCATCTCGAGTGGATAGAACCGTGACGAAGGTTGGAGTTTTCATCTCGAGTGGATAGAACCGTGACGTAGGTTTTAGTTTTCATCTCGAGTGGATAGAATTGTGACGGAGGTTGTAGCTTCCAGCTCGAGTGGATAGAACCGTGACGTAGGTTGGAGTTTTCATCTCGAGTGAAAAGAACCGTGACGGAGGTTGGAGTTTTAATCTCGAGTGGATAGAACCGTGACGGAGGTTGTAGCTCGAGTGGATAGAACAGTGAAGTAGGTTGAAGTTTTCATCTCGAGTGAATAGAACCGTGACAGAGGTTGTAGTTTAGAAGTCTGGTAGAGCCACAGCTGGACGAGGCCCAATGCGGCTTCAGAGCAAACCGAAGTACTCAAGACCTTATCTTCACACTGAGACAGATGAGTGAAGAAGCCCTGGAATATAAGAGTGAGATGCACTTATGTTTTTTGGATCTGGAAAAGGCATTTGACAAGATACCCTGGAACAAGCTCTGGGACTGCTTGGCAGGGAAAAACATCCCAGCACCCCTGATCAGTGCAATACAGAGTTTCTACAAAAAGTGCAGAAATTATGTAAGAACAGCAGACCAAAAGTCAGAAGAATTCAAGACTGCCAGCGGTGTTAGACAAGGTGATATTCTCTCACCTTATCTCTTCATTCTTATGATGGATGATGTCATCAAGACCTGTAAGGAGAAGACAAAGAAGTACTCTGTAGGGTACTGGAAGATGAGACCAATCTGTATATCAGAGCTGGCTTTTGCAGACGATGTGGCCCTGATAGCTAAATCAGAGGCACACCTTCACTCCAACTTACTTGTCTGGAAGGAAGAGCTTGAAAAGAAAGGGATGACCATCAGTGTCTCCAAAACTAAAACCATGGTGATCTCAAGAGAGGAGAAGAAACACCAGATCATGATGGGACAGTATGCGTTGGAGCAGGTTAACCAGTTCAAATACCTTGGAGTTGTATTAGACCAAAATGGAGGCTACACGAAAAGCAGCTGCTGGGAGACTCTTCCAGGCCATAAACCGAGGGTTTCTTAGCAAAAGAGAAATTGGCAAGAGGACGAAAATGGCTGTTTACCGCTCTACCTATGTACCAGTCCTGACCTATGGGTGTGAGTCATGGGCAATGACAACAGCTCACAGAAGCCAGCTGCAGGCCTCGGAAATGAGATACCTGAGAAAGGTGGTCCAAGTGACAAGAAGGGACAAAGTCCGCAATCAGACAATACGTCAAGATCTTGATACCCAGCCCTTAGTAACCCGAGTAGATCAGTCACAGTTACGATGGTTTGGACATGTATGCAGAATGGGAGAAAATCGGCCACCATGGCAAGCATGGGAGGCTAAGAACCAGGGAACCAGAAAGTACCTCCGGGACGACCCAGGGTGCGCTGGGAAGACAACATCCGACAGTCCCTAACTGACAGAGGACTGGAATGGAACAAAGCCAGAAAGAAAACTGCTGATAGAGACGTCTGGCGATCTCTCTGGCAAACCTCTACACCCCAAGGTAGAAGAGAGGCGACTAAGTAAGTCAGTAAGTAAGTGAATAGAACCGTGACGGAGGTTGTAGCTTCCAGCTCGAGTGGATAGAACCGTGACGTAGGTTGAAGTTTTCATCTCGAGTGAATAGAACTGTGACAGAGGTTGTAGTTTTCGTCTCGAGTGGATAAAACCGTGACGTAGGATGGAGTTTTCATCTCGAGTGAATAGAACCGTGACGTAGGTTGCAGTTTCCAGCTCGAATGGATAGAACCGTGATAGAGGTTGCAGTTTCAATCCCGAGTGGATAGAACCGTGACGGAGGTTGCAGTTTCCAGCTGGAGTAGATAGAACCGTGACAGAGGTTGCAGTTTTCATCTCGAGTGGATAGAACCGTGACGGAGATTTCAGTTTACAGCTGGAGTGGATAAAACCGTGACGGAGGTTTCAGTTTCCAGCTCGAGTGGACAGAACTGAGACGGAGGTTGCAGTTTCCTGCTCGAGTGGATAGAACCGTGACGGAGGTTGCAGTTTCCAGCTGGAGTGGATAGAACCGTGACGTAGGTTGCAGTTTCCAGCTCGAATGGATAGAACCGAGACGTAGGTTGCAGTTTCCAGCTCGAGTGGATAGAACCGAGACGGAGGTTGTAGTTTCCAGCTGGAGTGGATAGAACCGTGACGGAGGTTTCAGTTTCCAGCTGGAGTGGATAGAACCGACGTTCTGTAAAGGACCTGATGATTGATGACGATGATAAAATGTCAAAAATACACCATAAGCCTTAGTAATTCTCATGATGGCGTTTAGTTATAGCAGCTGAAACCTAGCCGCTAAACTCTTATCTGCTGATCCAAACTTCTTATGTTTAAATCGCATTGAGTCGTATTTAATTTAAACGAACTTCGTTTCTAGACAGATCCAGGTTAAAATAGGTACTAAAAGAAGTAAACGCGGCCGGCAGGAGGTTGACCACAACCCCTGAGTGCCGAATGGTCTGTACAATTATGAGTTTCGCTTCCGACTCTAGATCAGGGTTATTCAACTGGCAACCCGAGGGCCAAATCTAATTTTTTTCAACGTTAGGCGGATATCTTTGGTGGAGCCATAGGATAATCCTGCGACAGCGGACCACGGTTGAGAACTTAGTGAGATGCAATCATAATAATGTGCTTTAGTGGTTGTAGTTAATAATGATGTCATCAATGTTTCAGATGATAAATGCTAAACACAGAAAGATGGGCTGTGCCACAGCGGAGGGTTGCGGCAGGGGCTTGTCCTATGTTGTGCTAATGTGCCTTTACGAGGGAGGGTAAGTCTTGTGGTTAGTTTGACGTTAGTTCCCCCCCCCCCTTTCAAAGCCCGCACATATACACAGTAGCTCACTTCTGATTGGATGTTTCTGAGCCGCGAGCCTTCGCACACTGCTGCGGGCGTGTTCCGCAATGTTGTTGTATATTTCAGTACGCCAGCGCTTTTAACACTACAAAAATATGGACAAACTGGGTCTAACAAAATTCCCCTAGAGGCCTAGAGAGTTTTGCAATCTATGTCACAGGCATACTCTTTCTCGGAATAAAAACGTTAATGCAAGACATCGTAGAAACTAAATAAGAGAGCAGGACACACCCGTAACCTCTACAAAAGTGGACCAGCTCAACAAAGTTGTCAGTGAAAACTGACCTACTTTGTTTGGGGAGACTAACGTTGAACTAAATGTCCTTGTATATGATTACTGATTTCTTCTTCTTAACGTTCACCGGCTGTAAACTCCGGTAGAGAATTATGCTTGTTCGTCCACCTCTGGATTTAAGTCTTGTTCCAGAACCTTAGTTTAACGTGCACATCCATTTAATAAATTTTACTTATTTGCATGTTGGTTTCTTGCGTCTGAGGCAGGTGCACTCCGACTTCAAGAAAGCCCTCAAGTTATCCGACTCTTACGAAATGCTTATTAGGGATGCAGTGGGTCTTTTCTTGTTTTCCTCATAGTGGGGCCTCAGAACTTACATGGTAAATTACAGATCTAAGTGCCGACATTATAACCCACCGGGCATACACATAGATGCTCTGTCACCCGCAGCAAATGTCTTAAGGGTTAAATGTTAACTGTTCTCGTAGCGCACTGGTTATAAACTCGCTGTTCTCTTTTTATTATACGTCTCTCCTTGCCGGGTGCACTCCTGATTCAATGTTTACACATTCTTACACATGTTAGTTCATCTTATCTTGTGTCTTATGTCAGAATTCGTTCATAAATGGCCCTCAGAACGTCTCATGTGTCCAGTAGGAGTGTTTATATAGCGACGCTTAGGTAGCCTAAAAATCTGCCCTATTATATACTCGCACTACTGCATTTCCTGGACAGTATATCCACGTGATCGGCTCTGTGGCTAAGTCGATGCGAACGCTTCGCTTCGTAATAGCGGGATGCCAGGTTCGATCCCAGCTGCGGGCAATGCGCCTTGCGTTGGTTTCGACAGTGGTATCAAGAAAGCCGACCTCAAGAAAGCAATGGCAAACTATTGGATGTAAATTGCCTAAAGAAACCACTCAGCCAGGGGCTGTTAGGGTTGGTTCTGCAACGTCCTGTAAAGGATACGCAACTAACTTATATCCACGTGAGTTCCTGTAATATTGGTGTCCTGATATTTGGTATCACTCATGCCCCATTTGTTCTACTACTGTCTGTGGTGTTTGGGAATTTTTTGCATTTAAATTGTGTTGGTAAATTACAGACATGAGTAACTACTAACTTGCATTGAGTTATTCCCCATGTGTCTCAGTGTCTCTCCAAAGAGCAACAGTCGAGATTATCCCGCGCAGAACGAACAATATAGCTCCGTCCACGATCCTCAGGCACATTCTTAAAAATTGTACCAGTAAACTGGCCGATGCAGTTCGTGAAAAGAACCCCCTGACCTTTGAAAAAAAAAATTGGTAGCATCAATCAATCAACCTGGTGCCATCTCCACACTCAAAGTTGGTTATTATGTATCTCAGTTATGGCTTGTCTTTCGCTCTGGATAAACACTCTCTAACACTGCTGTTCGTCAATCTCTTGATAATTTCCTACCGCTACTATCATTGTCTGCCTCTTGCTCGCTCGCCTTCAACTTTTCCCTCCAGTGTGGTTAATAATAAGTGTGTATGCATTTCTTTTTCTTCTTGTGGTCATTTTCTCATTTACACAGACAGTTCTTGTGCTGACCTTGATTGTTTTTAGGAGTTCTCTTTGGACTTGCGTTTTCAAAAAAGCGAAAAGCATCGGTGATTGTTTGGGATGACTGTGATTAATCTGAAATTATTCTGTTCCCTTTTCATGAACTGCTATTTTGTGAGCATTTCTACAAGCAGGATACTATGTGTTTTTCGTGGGAGCAGCGGGTATTGTGGTTGTGCTTTGTGGAGGCGGGATAATGGCCGATAGATTTGGCAGCCTCGGCCAGGCTGCCTTCGCAATGTTTTTGATCGCGGCGGCCCACTATCCAGAACTGCAACAGTCTAGAGACCTAACTCGATAAAAGCTGTTCACTGAAACGGAATATGTAAAAAATTTGGTGGGGTGGAATCAACATATACAGTAATTCAATGCCCATGGCCAAGAGTTGCCTTTTAGTTCCATGTAGCTTTGATTGAGTACAGTGTTAAATCAGTGGGCCAGTGTTCCCTTCTTAATCGTCTCTAAAAGGGGCACATGTTCTATGCAAACAAAGCCAACACGGACACTTGTGTTAACCACTTAAATGAAGCCTGTACATAGGATTGAAAATAAAGAAATAAAAAAATGTAACAGATTTTGTTTTTTGGGC